GTGAGAAGATATCTTTTCTGGAAATATAAAGATAATTTGGGAAAGCCTTTCACAGGGTGATAGACTCTATTTTATTTGGCTCTCTAGAGGCACTCAGAACTTAGGTATCCAATAATTGGATTACCCAGAACACTGTTATAACTCTCCACTGTGCTTTTCCTGACAACTATTTTGGAAGTATAATGTACTCAGGAATGATTAATGTTTCCAAAGGGTTCGGGGGATTTGTATAGAAATGGTGGATAGATAGAGGTTTATCAGACTTAGCACAATAGGTGAAATGCTTCAGTGGCACAAAGGTTATTTTACAGGTAACCTTGACATAAGGTCTAATTTATAAAGTCAGGGAAGGTTCTTCAGTAATCTGGGACTAGCTCTGTAACTTGTAAGCCTTCTAAATAATTGAATTACAAAAATGTTTTATTACAAATACGAAATTGTTGATATACTTCTCCAACAGCAACCTATATCTCTTTGATCTAGAATCAACCAAAGTGTGTTATTTATCTATGTGCCAGGTATTGTGTTCGGTTGGTCACCAGGTGCTTATAGATTCCTTAAAGGACTCTGGTGAGTAAATAATTATACAGTTTAATGGTAGGAGAGAAGCCCACTCAAAACTTTCTAGCTTGAGAAACAGGGTTGTTTATAAAATAATTATTTGAAATTAATAATTATTTGAAGTTTGACTATGGACAGATAGTAGATGAAACTTAAGAGCATTTTACAATGATGTCATGTGGGAGGTTAGACAGAAAGGATAGGGGATTTTTGAGACATGCAGAGGCAGACAGAGATGCTGGGAACCATCATGAACATAATTAAGAAACATGAGGGGAGGTGACTGCTCTCCATCTTTTTTCCTCAAGGTTTATTAAGGTATAATTGACAAAATTTGTATACACTTAAGTTGCACAATGTGATATCTTCATATACATATGTATTGTGAAGTAATTCATACTATCAAGCTAATGGACATATCCGTCACCTCACATAGTTAACCCCTTTTTTGTGGATTAGAATATTTAAAATCTATTCTTAACAAGTTTAATGGACATAGTACATCATTATTAACTATGCTCTATATTAGATCTCTAGAATGTATTCCTCTTACAATTGAAAGTTTGTACCCTGTGACCAATATCTCCCCATTTCCTCCTTCCCCAACTCCTGGCAATCACCCTGCTACTTCTGTTTCTTATGAGTCTGACTTTCTTTTCTTTAAATATTTCACATATACATGAAATCATTCAGTATTTATCTTTTCGTGTTAGGCTTATTTGATTTAGTATAATGTCTTTCAGATTAATCTATGCTGTAGCAAATGAAAGGATTTTCTTTTTTATGACTGAACAATAGTCTGTCATGAGTGTGCATGTATTATCTTTAAAAATACTGTTAATCTGTTTATGGGCACAGATTGTTTGCATATATTGGCTATTGTGGATAATGCAGCAGTGAACATGGGAGTGCAAATATCTTTTTGAGATAGTGATTTTATTTCTTTTGGATATATAACCAGAAGTGGTATTGCTGGATCATATGGTAGTTCTATTTTACATTTTTTGTGGAAACTGCCTACTGTTTTCCATAACGGCTGTACCAGTTTACATTCTCATCCACAGCATTCAAAGATTTTTGAATGCTTTTCTCCACATTCTCACCAAAACATTTTATTGTTTGTCTTTTCGATAATAGACATCCTAACAGGTATGAGGTGATATTTCATCGTGATTTTGATTTGCATTTTTCTGATAATTTGTAATGTTGAACATCTTTTTATATACCTCTTGGCCATTTGTATGTGTTTTCTGGAAAGACGTCTACTTAGGTTCTTGCTTATTTTTAAATGGGTTATTTATTTTTTTGCTATTGAGTTATATGAGTTCCTTATATAATTTGGATCTTATCCCTTTATTGGATATATAGTTTGCACATATTTTCTCACATTCCATAGGTTCCCTTTTCATTTTGTCCATTGTTTCCTTTGATGTGCAGAATTTTAATAGTTTCATTTTTATTTTGTTGCCTATGCTTTTGGTATCAAATTATCCCTCCCGTCCCCTCCCCTCCCCTCCTCCCTTCCCTTCTCCTTTTTCCCTTCCCTTCCCTTCTCCCTCCCCTCCCCTCCTCTCCCCTCCCCTCCCCTTCCCTTCCCCTTCCCCTTCCCCTACCTTCCTTTTCCTTGGTCCTTCCGTTCCCTTCCCTTGTTCCTTCCCTTCCCTTCCCACTTCCCTTCCCCCATCCCTTCCCCTTTCCCTTCCCTTCCCTCCCCTCCTCCCTTCCCTTCCCTTCCCTTCCCTTCCCTTCCCTCTTCCCTTCCCCTATCCCTTCCCCCTTCCCTTCTCTTACCCGCCTTCTGTTCCATTTCCATTTTTCTTTCCTTTCCTCTTTTCTTGTTTTGTGACAGGATCTCACTTTGTTGCCCAGGCTGGAGTGGGATGGTGCAATTATGGCTTACTGCAGCCTCAATCTCCCCAGACTTAGGTGGTTATCCCATCTCAGCCCTCTAGTAGCTGAGTCTACAGGTGTGCACCACCACGCCCAGGCATTTTTGCTTTTTTTTTTTTTGTAGAGTTGGGGTTTCACCATTTGTCCAGGTTGGTCTTGAATGCCTGGCTCAAGCAATCCACCCTCTTGACCTCCCAACATGTGGGGAATACAGGTGTGAGCCACCGCACCTGTGCCAGGCTTCTCTGTGTTTTCTTCTAGGAGTTTTGCAGTCTCATTCTTAGGTTTAAGTCTTTAATCAATTTTGAGTTGGTATTTGTAAGATAAGTGTCCAATTTAATTCCCTTGCATGTAGAGATCCAGTTTTCCTAACACTATGTATTGAAGGGACCATCCTTTCCCCACTATGTATTTTATATTTTAATTTTTTTTTTTTTTTTTTTGAGATGGAGTTGTACTCTTCACACAGGCTGGAGTGAAGAGGTGTGATCTTGGGTCACTGCAACCTCTGCTCCGGGTTCAAGCAATTTTCCTGCCTTAGACTCCAGAGCAGATAGGATTATAGGTGCCTGGCACTATGCCTGACTAATTTTTCTATTTTTAGTAGAGAGAGGGTTTCGCCATGTTTGCCAGGCTGATCTCGAACTCCTGACCTCAGGCAGTCCACCCACCTTGGCCTCCTAATGTGTTAGGATTACAGGCATGAGCCACTGTGCCTGGCCAGCCCACTGTGGATTCTTGATACCTTGGTAAAAATATTAGTTGACTCTAAATGTGTGAGTTTACTTCTGGTCTCTTATATTCTGTTCCATTGCTGTATGTCTTTTTTTATGCCATAACCATACAGTTTTGATTACTATAATTTGTAATATTATTTTGGAATCAGGAATTGTGATATCTCCAACTTTTTCTTTTTTCTCAAGATCTTCTTAGCTATCTGAGACCTTTTGTGATTCCATACAGATTTTAGAATTGCTTTTCTATTTGTATAAAAAGTGCCCTTGGAATTTTGATAGAAATTGAATTAAATTTGTAGATCACTTAGGGAAGTATAAATATTTTAACAATATCAATACTTTCAATCCATGAACATGGGCTATCTTTTCATTTATTTGTGCCTTCATTTTTTTTTCAGTGATATCTTACAGATTTAAGTGTACAGATCTTTCAGTGCTTTAAGTTTATTCCTATGTATTTTTTTTTCTGATGCTGTTGTAAATGAAATTGTTTCCCTAATTTCTTTTTTGAGTAGTTTGTTTTTAGTGCATATAAATGCAACTGATTTTTGTATATTGATTTTTATTCTGCAACCTTAACAGAAATCATTTACTAATTCTAACAGTTTTATAGTGTGGAGTCTTTAGGGTTTTGTATACATAAGATCCTGTCATCTGCAAACAGAGACAATGCATTACTTCCTTTTGATTGGATGCCTTTTATTTCTTTTTCCTGCCTAATTGCTCTGGCTAGGACTTTCAGTACTGTGTTGAACAGGTGAGAGTGGGAACATCTCCTGGCACTGAGTTGTGCTGCCTCTCAGGAGGGGTGATGTGGATAATGTGAAACTGTTCTTTTTACTCTCATCAGTGTATCTTTCTCTTTTTTTCATAATGTACAAATATAATTGGTGACAATAAATGCCTTAATTCTGATTGATGAATGAGTGTATATATGGTAGTTGAGATTCTGAGAGCAGTGATAATCTTCCATAAAAGCTAGCAGAAGGCTGGGCGCGGTGGCTCATGCCTGTAATCCCAGCACTTTGGGAGGCCGAGGCAGGTGGATCACGAGGTCAAGAGATCGAGACCATCCTGGTCAACATGGTGAAACCCCGTCTCTACTAAAAATACAAAAAAAATTAGCTGGGCATG